AAAAAAAAAAGGAAACAAAGGATAATGAAAGCCTTGGATGATTTACCAGCTAATTAATGCCTCACAATGCTATTAACAGATATCCTTCACAAAACCAATTATCTACTTAACTACAGAAAAAAATACAAAAGAAGCCATAAAAAGTAAATTTATTCAACCCTAGATGTTACCTTTGGAGTGCATCCTTTTCTTCTGCCCAGGGAATGGAACAGGTAAGAATGCCAAATTAGCATTTCTTTGGGAAGGCAGTGAGAATTCCATGCAATTCCAAAATCACTTCAAGGTACAGGGAGCATCACAGGAGTTCTGAGACAAAAGCTTCCTAAATGAATGATTCCTGACAACAGTTTGTAATTAATTAGCCACAGTCACTTGACTACCCACATAACTAGAGAATCTGCTTGTTGCTTATAACAGGGTTAGTATAGAAAATCAGCCCCCTGAGTATTACTAAAATTAAAATCTTTCTTAAAATACACAATGACTCAATGAAGGAATATAGCTGTTAGCCAATAATGTCTATTTAAATTCCTAGAATTAGAAATTTCATAATTTCACATTAAAATATTTAATGAAGCATCTAATTAAATCCATCGTCTAACGTTTAGAAAATTGCTTCCTGAGTGACAGGAAAAAGAAAAATATTGTTCTAATCCTTGAAAGTGGGTTAGCAAGCAAATTACAGCATGCAATGAGATAATATGAATACAACCTACTCTTCAATTTTTCATATATTTCTTTTAGTGAAAAAGTAAATAATAAGCAAAGACTAATAATTTCTTTCTAATTGACTAGATAATATACCTATACATGATCATCCTTACTAAGAATATTGTGGCATCTAAAAAATAGTGTGAATGATTCAAGTGCTGGCACAGCCATTTCCACAATGTAAACTCCTCTGATGCTGCTGCCCCAGAGCCTGAATACAAGGTGTCTGAATGCTGCCAGCCACGCACTTAAATCATTGTCATGTAATCCCCAAAGACACACAGGCCTCTGTACACTTCATTTGCTCTAACATATGCGAGAGAGTTAGTTTTCCAATTCCACAGGCCTTTTTGGTACCAGATGCTGACCAAACAATACGTTCCACGTGTTTGCCTGGTATGTGCTGGACCTCAGCTCAAAGAAGTGTCTTGGTCACTCATTTTGTTCAGATTTCCAAGGTTTCCATTTTTTTAAGTCATCATCGATCCAGGCACATTTATAAAAGGGACCTTGAGCCTGAGATATAACTCATCTTTCTGTCACTCGCTAACCCACAGTATTAAATTACAAAGACCGGCATCAGCGCCAGTGAACAGACCCATGACTGACTAGCACAGTGAGGGTCTCCTTGTCATTAGGGTGTCACGACTCGCCGTAAGAAGAATGTCAGTTGCTTTCAGGACAAAATGCTTACCAATATTAGAATTCCCCCAGCCCTTGAGAATGGGAGGGCAGAAGGATTTCCATTACTTTTCTTCACGTCACAACTCAAGTAGAAGGAATAAACTCTTTTATATAAAATCTAGTTCTTGTTCCACATTCACCTTTGAAAATAGAAAAAAATATAGAAAAATAAAAAATGTAAATGTACATTTGCCAACCATGCAAATGGTGTATAAATGTAACAGGTTTATTATGCACAAGTATATTAAATATACTAAATTATTTCTCCACTAGGGTGTCCTAACGTTATTAAAAGCAGAGGAAGTATAAAAATACTAGTAGACAAAGGAGACAGAAACCTCAGATGACTAACCAGATTAGTAGGGCTCACACCGTTTGGATTAACAGACTGTTTGAAAAACCAATTATAATCTTAATTGCTAAAATAGAATAATAGAAATAACCCAGGAAAACACACTTGCTAAAAATTGCAATATTACCTCTGAAGTGCATTGTTCTCACTGCCAGACAAGGAATCTGGTACATGTGACAAAATAAGCAGGTTAGTGGAGCAGTAGTTATAATTTGTAACTCTTGGAAATGTTTTAAATGTTATTCAAAGTACAGAGAAGAAAACATCTTAAAAATGAAGGAAACTGATGCTTCAGACAGCTCATCAGGTTAATAATTCCTAATAGTCTGTATTAACCTATTATTCACAAAACCAAATGACTGACAGTTTTAAAAATAATAAAAATAAATTTACTAAAAATCAGATACTACCTCAGGAGTGTGTTGTTCTGTTTCTTTCCAAATTAGTTAGCTGGTACAAATGACAATATCAGCCCTTCACTGGTTCAGTGGTAAAATTCCATGGAATTGTAACTCACCCAATCTACAAAGTGTAGCAGAAATTAGGGAAGTTATATAACAAAATTTGTCAAATGGAATATTTAGTTACAAGCAAATATAAGAATTCACACTAGACATTCACTCGACCATCCAATGAGTGACAAGAAAAATTATTCTTCCATCTTTGACCACGATAAAATATAAGCTTTTTATCTGAGACATTAGTCTCAAAGCTTCCCTGGCATGCCTAATCAAAGTCATTTATTACAATGAGGATATCTCTTCAAACGCAATGGAAACCTTTGAGGATGTATGAATATAGCCAATGAAATCTATGTAAAAAAGAATTTGAAATATAATCTAAGTTTATTTGAGGCAGCATACAGTTGAAGCCAGCAAAACAGTGGTTTGCTTTTTGATAAGAAAAAATAAAATCTAAAAAACAAGTGTGACAATCCTAGTGGCTGAATTGGCAAGAAAATTAAAATACACTAGAATATTCTACATAGAATACCCTTTTTTCAATTTCCATGTAATTGTTTCACCTAGCTGAAAATAAAAAGTAAGACCAGGAGCAGTGGCTCATGCCTGTAATCCCAGCACTTTGGGAAGACGAGACGAGTGGATCACCTGAGGTTGACAGTTGAGACCACCCTGGTCAACATGGTGAAACTCTGTCTCTACTAAAAATATGAAAATTATCCGGGCATGGTGGCATCTCAGGCTACCTGGAAAGCTGAGGTGGGAGACTCTCTTGAACCTGGGAGGCAAAGGTTGCAGTGAGCCAAGATCATAGAACTGCACTCCAGCCTGGGCAACAGACTGAGACTTCGTCTCAGAAAAAAAGGAAAAGGAAAATCTCATCATATCTTTGGATTTGGACGTTGACCCTCTCATTACCCTCAAGAGACTGATCATCAACTAGAAAATTCTGCGAGCTCAGACAAATGTGTGAATGGCTCAAGGACAGGCACAATAACGTCCATGAGTCTCACTATGTCCTGGTTCCCAGGGTGTATAAACTGTTTCTATAAATGCTGCCAACCAAGTACAAAGAGGGTTGCTATGTCAAAAAACAGCTGGATATTTACAGACCTGAGAACAATTCATTTGCTCTAACATATGTGGGTCAGTTCGTTTTCCAGTACCCCAATCCCTGTGAACTCCCTCTGCATGTCTGCCTGGCATAGTCCCAGTGCTGGACCTCAGCTCACAGAAGTGGCACAAAAATGATTTGGTCACTCATTTTGTTCAGATTCCGATGAAATCCATTTTTTAAATAGTCATCATCGATCCAGGCACATTTTTAAAAGGGACCTTGAGTCTGAGTTATGTGGCAGACACTGAGCACATTTGTCACTCTGGGACACACTGACTCAGGCTATGCAATCATGGAGACCAGCATCACAGTCAATGACCGGCCCACAGTGGATTAGCACAGCCAGGGTCTCATGGTCACCAGAGTGTTACAATTCCCCATGCGGATATGTTGGTATGCTCAGGACAAAAGGCTTACCAGTATTAGAGTTCCCACTGGCCCTTGAGGATGGGAGGGCAGCATTATTCCCAATACTTTCCTTCTTGTCTTGCCTCAAAGGGAAGGATAAATTCATCCATATGAAACCCAGTTCTTGGTATATGTTGTTCTGTAGGAAAAGAGTATGTATATGAGAATCTGAGAAGTACATATAGACATTTTTTGGCCTTGCATAAGACAGGATGTTTCATATATTATTCAAAGTAGAGAAAAGCATAAAATCTTTTAAAAAAGGAGATTGATGCCTAGCTCATCAGAATATTAATGTCTGAAACTGTTAGTATTAACGAACTCTTTATAAACCGAAATTCTTAATTACTTAAAAAAATAAAAAGGCATCACAAAAATAAATTCACTGAAAATTGGATGTTACCTTAGATGTGCATTGGAGTGCTTCCTCACAGCTGTGTTAGCTGGTACAAATGTCAAAATTAGCACTTCACTGGTTTGGCAATGAAATTCCATGGAATTCTATCTTATCCAATCTACAAAGTACAGGGAAAATTAGGAAAGTTGTGAAACAAAATTTGGTTAACGGACTTAATTTGTTAAGCGGTTATAAGAATTCACATTAGATACTCATTGGACCATCTGTATAAAAAGAACAATTATGCTCACATCTTTGATTGAAATTGTATGGAAATAATGTTTTCTAAAACATTTGTCCCAAAGTTCCTCCAGCACATACGCTTCAAAACAACTTTTTTTATTTGAGATGGAGTTCCACTTCTCTTACCCAGGATGGAGTGCAATGGTGTGATCTCGGCTCACTCCAACCTCCATCTCCTGGGTTCGAGCGATTCTCCTGCCTCCGCCTCCTGAATATCTGGGATTACAGGAATGTGCCACCACACCAAGCTAATTTTGTAATTTTTAGTAGAGACAGAGTCTCTCCATGTTAGTCAGACTGGTCTCGAACACCTGACCTCAGGTGATCCACCTATCTTGGCCTCCCCAAGTACTGGCTTTACAGGAAGGAACCAACACACCCGGCCACATTACAACTTTTAATTAATTAACACAGTATTCACCCATGGAGGACATATGAAAATAGCCAATGAAATTCCTGTAAAAATCTAAGACTTTGAAATACATTCCTATCACTTCTAAAAATGTGTGCTCCAACATGTAGTTGAAACTAGCACTGAGACATGTAACAGCTTGCTTGGTTGATGGAAAAACAAAAAAGAAACAACTGTTTCAGTCCTACTGACTGGGTTGGCAATCAAATGAAAATATACTGCAAGATTTCATATAAGATATTTATTCTTTAATTTCCATGTAATTACTTCACTTAAAAGAAAATGAGAAGTGACAAAACCCACCATTAAAGAGGTGGGACTAGGCTTCATGTTTCAACAAAAAAACACAGGAAGCCTAAGTAGCAATGGGACGGTGTTCTTGACCACCCAGCAGTGCCTCCAGGTCAGCAGAAGAGGCGGGCCTAACCTCCCAGTGTAAACAAATAGACACAGGAAGCTTACCTAGTAACCTAAAGGGGTCCCTAGAAACCCAGTGGTGCCTAGACAGGCAGACAAGCAACCTCATCAAGCAGCTCCCTAAGATCACAGCCAGGTAAATCCATTAAGATGGAAAAAAAAAACAGCACAGAAAAGATGAAACCATCAAAGACCAGAGCACCTCTTCTCCTTCAAGGGATCATAACTCCTCAACAACATGGGAACCCAACATGACTGAGAAAGAGTGCAACGAATTGACAGCAACAGGCTTCAGAAGGTGGATAATAACAAACTTTTCTGAGCTAAAGGAAAATGTTCTAACTCAATGCAAAGAAACCAAAAGCCTTGAAAAAAGGTTAGATGAAATGCTAACTAGAATAACCAGCTTAGAGAAGAACATAAATGACTTGATGGAGTTGAAAAACACAGCACAAGAACTATGTGAAGCAAACACAAGTTTTAATAGCCGAATCGATCAAGTAGAATAAAAGATATCAGAGATTGAAGATCAACTCAATGACATAAAAAGAGAAGGCAATACAAGAGAAAATAGAGTGAAAAGAAATGAACAAACCCTTCAAGAAATACGGGATTATGTGAAAAGACCTAATCTACACTTGATCGATGTACTTGAATATGATTGGCAGAATGAATCCAAGCTGGAAAACACATTCCAGAATATTATCCAGGAGAACTTCCCAAGCCTAGCAAGGCAGTCCAACATTCAAATCCAAGAAATACAGAGAACTCCACAAAGATATTCCTCAGGAAGAGCAACCCCAAGGCACCTAATTGTCAGATTCACCAGGGTTGAAATGAAGGAAAAAATGCTAAGGGCAGCCAGAGAGAAAGGTCAGGTCACCCACAGACGGAAGCCAATCAGACTCAGAGTGGATCTCTCAGCAGAAACCCTACAAGCTAGAAGAGAGTGGGGGCCAATATTCAACATGCTTAAAGAAAAAAAAGGATGAGTTCATTTCCTTTGTAGGGACTTGGATGAATCTGGAAACCATCATTCTCGGCAAATTGATGCAAGAAGAGAAAACCATACGTCGCATGTTCTCACTCATAGGTGAGTGTTGAACAATGAGAACACGTGGACTCAGGGAGAGGAGCATCACACACTGGGGGCTGTTGGGGGGGCTAGAGGAGGGACAGCAGAGGGTGGGAAGTATGGGGAGGGATAACATGGGGAGAAATGCTGGATATAGTATGTACCTATACAGCAACCCTGCATGACTTGCACATGTACCCCAGAACCTAAAGTTAAATAAATAAATAAAAGAACTTTCAACCCAGAATCTCATATC